GTCCTCCCTGAGTCTTCCCTTATCTTCCCTCAGTCTTCCCGTAGTCTTCCCGTAGTCTCGTGGTAGCGTCGCCCAGCGCCAGGCGCGCGCCGGGCGCGCGCCGGGCGCGCGCCGGGCGCGCATCTGGCATCATCTGGCTTCTCGTGTCCTCCATTGTCCTCCCTTAGTCTTCCCGTAGTCTTCCCGTAGTCTCGTGGTAGCGTCGCCCGGCGTGCGCCCAGGCGCCCGGGGTGCGCATCTGGATTCTCGTAGTCTTCCCGTAGTCTTCCCGTATCTTCCCGTATCTTCCCGTAGTCTTCCCGTAGTCTGCCCGTAGTCTCGTGGTGGCGTTGGCGCCGGCGCGCGCCGGGTGCGCCCGGCGCGCCCGGCGCGCGCCGTATCGCGCCGTAGTCTTCCCGTAATCCTCCCGTATCTTCCCGTAGTCTTCACGCCGTCTTCCTGTATCTTCCCGTAGTCTTCCCCGTAGTCTCCCGTAGTCTCGTGGTTGCGTCGCCCGCGCCGGGCGCGCCGGGCGCGCATCTGGATTCTATTGGATTCTCGTAGATTCTCGTATATTCTCGTAGTCTTCCTATTCCCGATCCTTCCCGTATCCTGTAGTCTTCCCGTAATTCCCGTATCTTCCCGTAAGTCTTCCCGTAGTCTCGTGGTAGCGTCGCCCGCGCCGGGCGCGGCGCCCGGCGCGCGCCCGGGGTGCGCTGGATCTCGTAGTCCTCCCGTATCCCCGTAGTCTTCCCGCATCTTCCCGCAAGTCTTCCTGATTTTCCCGTATCTTCCTGCAAGTCTTCCAAGCCGCCTGGTGCCGGGCGGCAGCGCCGCGCGCGCGGCGCGCCGGGCGCGCGCGCCGGGCGCGCGCCCGGGGCGCGTAGTCTTCTTCCATCTTCTTCCATCTTCTTCCCGTAGTCTTCCCGTATCTTCTCGTAGTCCTCCCGTAGTCTTCCCGTATCCCGTAGTCTCGTGGTGGCGTCGCCCGGCGCCGGGCGCGCGCCCGGGGCGCATCGGGGCGCGGTCCTCCCGTAGATTCCCGTAGTCTTCCCGTAGTCTTCCCGATTCTCCTCGTAGTCTTCCCGTAGTCTTCCCGTATCTTCCCGTATCTTCCCGTAGTTTTCCCGTCTTCCCGTAGTCTCGTGGTAGCGCCGGGCGCTCTGGCATCAGCCAGCTTCTCGTAGATTGTCGTAGTCTTCCCAGTCTTCCCGTAGTCTTCCCGTAGTCTTCCCGTAATCTTCCCGTATCTCCCCGTAGTCTTCCCGTAGTCTCTGGTAGCGCCGGGCGCGCGCGCGGGCGTGCGCCGGGCGCGCGCTCGGCGCGCGCCTGGGGCGCCGGGCGCGCGCTCGGCGCGCGCCTGGGGCGCGTAATGGCGCGTGTCTAGCATCGGCTAGGTTCTCGTAGCCTTCCCGTATCCCGTAGTCTTCCCGTAGTCTTCCCGTAGTCTCGTGGTAGATCATGGTAACGTCGCCCGGCGCCGGGCGCGCGCCCGGGGCGCGCTCTGGCCTCTCGTGTCCTCCCGTAGTCTTCCCGTATCTTCCCGTAGTCTTCCCGATTCTTCTCGTAGTCTTCCATAGTCTTCCCGTAGATTCCCGTAGTCTTCCCGTATCTTCCCGTAATCTTCCCGTAGTCTTCCCGTATCTTCCCGTAGTCTTCCCGTAGTCTTCGCGTAGTCTCGTGGTAGCGCCGGGCGCGCGCTCGGCGCGCGCCTGGGGCGCGCATCTGGCATCAGCTGGCTTCTCGTAGTCTTCCCGTAGTCTCGTGGTAGCGTTGCCCGGGCGCGCGACCGGGGCGCGCTCTGGCCTCTTGTGTCCTCCCGTGGTCTATCCGTATCTATCCGTAGTCTTCCCGATTCTTCTCGTAGATTCTCGTAGTCTTCCCGTAGTCTTCCCGTAGTCTTCGCGTAGTCTCGTGGTAGCGTCGCCCAGCGCCGGGCGCGCGCAGGGCGCGCGCCGGGCGCGCGCTGGGCGCGCATCTGGCATCAGCTGGCTTCTCGTAGTCCTCCCGAAGTCTTCCCGTAGTCTCGTGGTAGCGTCGCCCGGCGCCGGGCGCGCGCCCGGCGCGTGTCTGTGCATATCTGTGCATCATCTGGCCTCTCGTGTCCTCCCGTGATCCTCCCGTAGTCTTCCCGTATCTTCCCGTAGTGTAAAATAATGTAAAATGCGATAAAATCATATAAATCCGCAGGATATATCAGGATAATTTAGGATATCATTGGATGATATTGGATGACCACGGATGGCCCATAATGATAACCCATGATAACCCACAAATACCCACAAAGTATCACAAAGTTTTCCAAGCGGTTGAGATCGGTTGAGTATGGTCCCGAAATGTATCGAAATGTCCTGAACTTGGATAGATTTGGAGAGTCACGTGCTTGAACATTTGACTTGTGTCATGAGATGTTATGAGCGTCTGTATGAAAACCAAAGAAAACCATTCGAACCCAATCGATCCCAAGGATAACGTCACGATGTGGAAAAGGGCTTCGAAAAGGGATGAAAAGGGCTGAATAGGGCTGAGTTGGCTTGACGATATCGATCGATCGCGCCAAGCCACGGAGGCGCTGCTGCAAGCTGCTGCGCCACCTGCGCCATCCTGCGCCGCGCGGCGGCTGAGCCCACACAGCCGGGCCTGCAGGCCCGGCCCCGGTGCAGCCATGATTTGCCACGTTTCATCATGTTTCTATACGTATCGAATCGTATCGAATTGTTTCACATTGTTTCCCAGATCTTTCAAAAGTGCTTATTTAATTTAAGAACTTTAAATGCCATGACTATTAAGCAATGTTTTGTTAATTAAGCATTGTTTATAATTTAAAGAAAAAATGCTTATTTAAGCAATGTGAAATTTTCTATATGCACCATATAGATCCATATGCATATGCACTTGTGTTTTGACGGGGATCTATCCCGTGCAATGGCACAACATTTTTTGCAGCCAGCAGGTCGAGCTTGGAGTCGAGGCAGCTTGTTAGCTGCAAGAAACCTCCTCAGGACTTGGCAAGAAACAGCACGCATGCTAAATTTGCCTCCTCGTCTCCTACCCAGGAGCGCCAAGGTGTGTCCATAGCTCTCGTCCCGATATGTCCAGATCTTACTAGGATTGACATCATGCCTGGCCAATTCGACAAGCTGATGAGCTTTCGGTTTTACTCTGAATATCTTGTCTTCTTCAAAGAACGCCTCCAGTTGCCCAGCCAGCAATAAATATCTTTGAGCAGCATCCCTGAAAACAGCCTGGTCCCAAGCAGCAGAGCTCAAGCAAGTATACATGGAATTCAAAGCTTCTGCAGCATGTAGCATGGCCTCCTCTTGTGATATGACTGGATCTAAATATTTCCTGGCCAGCTCCAAAGCACAAGGCACAAGTGCTCGAGCCTCCCCAGCTTTTGCCCTCAACTTCGGCGCCTTAGCCTTGCCTTTGTCTTCATCTCTGAGCATTGTTGGCAGAAGCTTAGGCAATCTGTCAGTTGCTTGTACTCTGTTGTAATACTCCTGAATATCTGTGAACAGCTTTGCGCATCGGAGCAACTTGCTGACACCTCTGATCTTCTCACTCTGTAGGTAAAAGAATAAAGATCCCAACCAATCTGCTGTGATGCCCAGATCCACTGCATGCAGCCAATCCATTTTGCAGCAGCTTGTGCTAAAGCCTGGGCAAGAGAATAATCTTGACATCATCTTATTCTGTTGCCTTTGCCTGATATAGAAATCCAAAGAGCGGATCAGTGGATACCTGACTTGGGCTGAATTCAGCAAAATCCTCCCAAGGGCCTCCAGAAAAAACAGGCTCGGGGGCGATTTAATTATCTATATATACCTCAAACAAAAACAATTACTTGAATTAGAATGTGCCCATAGGTACTTGGCAAAGGTGTGGCTATCGAACTTTTTGAGGTCGGCTTTAGGCACATTGCACTGCCAGCAGATGTAGCCTGTACTTGCCCAAGATGGGAAATCTAGGACATCCTTGTAGCAAGCCCAGTCTGCTCTGAATTCAGCCAGGCAGGCTTTGATGCCAATGCTCTTGCGGGCCAACTTTCTTCTATAGCTATCAGAGTTCGTGAATGGCTGCCCATCATGTCTACAGCTTGGGAACACACCTCCTAACAGAATCTTGTAGGACCACTGCAAAACCTCGAAGATGCATTCAAAAGTCTTCTTCTTGTGCAGAAATTCCTTTGGAAAAGCTGTCAAAGGCAATCTGGCAGAATCGTCACCAAAGATGTTGAGAGAAATTGTTTCCAAAGTTTGAGACCGGTCTGAATTGAATGGCACCCCATCAGACCAAATGCCTGTGAGAAGCAATTCATCAGGATTCAATCCCATTTGCTGCAACTGCGCCAAATGAGATAGCAGGTCAGGCCTCTCAGGCAATACATTGCGCTGGTTGGCCAACATTGTCTCCGCAGAATTTAATTTCAAGAAAGCATGCAACAGTTCGTGGGGCAGCAGCATGGCCAATTGATGTTGCTGCTCACATTGCTTGGCTTGGTTCCACCCAGGCACTGAAAATTCATACACTGATGGCCACTTGCTATTTCTGAAACATTTTCTGAGCAGGTCCCTCTGGGCATTTGAGCCCGACTGATTGACTTGCAAATCCTGCACATGTCGTGCCCCTGCCATGGCAGCATTGTGGAGCAGTCGAGCTGATCTCGCGCTACTCAGCTCATTGTTCAGGAAAACATCCACCATGTCATGCCTGAACCTTTTCTCATCTGGAATGTCTGCAATGTCCTCTGAAGCCAAAGACCTCTTGTTGTACATGGCACCAAATCAGCTCATGGCAGAATTGGATGTCCGGCAACTGCAAATTACATGCTATTGCTCATAGCCTGGCACTGCGCTAGCTAACATGTTTCTTGAAAAACATTCTGTTTTGAGGAAACCACTTAAGAGTCTTGGGTTGATCTGGATTGTCTTGACAGGCCTTGAGCTGTATCGGCTGCGCCCCAGTAGAAAAGAGCGTTTGTAGACTGCTCACCAACAGTGGTGAGCGGAGCCTTACCGATGGCCTCGCCATCCGACCCATGGTTGGACTACCTGCGGAACCAAGGCCGCAGTGACGCATCCGCGAGAACACCCGCGGCGACAACGGCCGGACTCGGCCCACCACCTGGACTGAGCACGGCGGGGCCACCACTTTCCTTTGGACCTTCCTCAGGACCGACGCCCAATGCGCACCACATGCAGCACACCGCCGACGGCACGAGTGCCCAGAATCAGAACTTCGGCATGAATGCCCAGAGCGCGAACTTCGGCTTGAACACGCCGAACTTGCTCTACGGCATGAACGCCCAGAACATGACCTTTGGCGTGAACGCCCCGAACGTGCACACCGGCATGAATGCCCAGAACTTGCCCTTCGGCGCGAACACCCAGAACTTGCCCTTCAGCTTGAACACCCCTTGCCCCAATGCGAATCCTTTGCCCGCCACGAACGTGGACCCCGGCACCCAGATGAACGCAGCTACCTTTGCCTCAGCCATAGGCTCTGGCCTTTCTGGAAGTCCTCAACGAGTAGTTCATTCTGCAATGGACATGCTGGGAAAACCTTCCCTGCCGGGAGGTCATGCTGCTCATCCTCAAGGACGACTGTCGGGAGACGCGCTGATAGCCCAGGCGCTGAGTCAGGCCCTCTCCGGTGAAAAGAGGCCGATTCCTTGCTGGAATGGAGCTACGACCACGCTCCGTTCATGGTTGAAACTCTTGGCGCTGTGGGAGCATGAGAGCCAGATCCCGCAGGACAAGAGAGGCATCAAGCTCTTGCAGAGCTTTCCGGAGGGCTCTCAGCCCAGGCGTATCGCCGACACCGTGCCCACGGACATCCTGATCTCCGCACAGGGCTACTCGGCGATCCTCTCGAAGCTTTTGGAGAAGTACGGCCCCTTCTTGGAAGCCACAGGCCCGCAGGCCGTCGACAAGTTCCTATTCGAAGGAGAGCGCGGACGAGGTGAATCATTTTCATCCTTCGTGGCAACGAAGGAGCTGGCTCGACAGGAGATGGAATCCCACCTCGGGGAACATGTCAGCGACAGGCTTTGCGGGCGGATCCTCTTGAAGCAGGCCAACCTCAACGAGCTCCAGAGGGAACTCGTTAGTCTGAAAGGACCGATGATGCGGACCTTTGATGAGGTGGCCAACATGCTCAGACCGTTGGACAGGCCGGAGGCACTTGCTCGACCTGACAACGCTGGTGGACGACCTCGACGAGCCTACTTCGCGAGCCCCGAGCACGCTAATGCGGACGACCACATGGAGGACGATCAGTCCTACTTCGAGGAGGATGAGAACGAGGACGCGGAGGAAGAATCTCTCATGGATGACGAGGGCAACCCCCTGATGTACATGGAGGATCGAGAGTACTCGGAGACCGAGGCGAACTACATCCAAGCCTACCACTCGGCCTACCGAGATGTGAGAAAGGAGTTGCAACGGCGGAGGAACGAGCGCGGCTACACCAAGCGCGACAACTACAACCGGCCCTTTGGAGGAAAGAGAACCTTCCAAAAGGGAAAATGGAACAAGGGCGGCAAATCCAAGTTCAGCCGGAAGGGGAAGTCAGATGACGGAGGCTTCAAGGGCAGCATGGGCGACCTGCAGAACCGCACCCGGTGCTTCAACTGCAACGAGATGGGACATTTCGCCAGAGATTGCCCTTTGAAGACTTCATCCACTACAAGCTCATCGAAAGGTTTCTCCGACAAGACCAAGCGGACCTTCGTCTTTGGTGCCCACCCTTCCAATGCCCCTGCAGTCTTCATGCACTACCATCAGCCTAGGCGACTCGCTGTATTTGCAGGAGTTCGATGCAGGCCGAGCGAGGCTTTGGTGGACACCGCCGCCGAGGACGCTGTGATCGGATCGAACGCGATGAACAGGTTGCATGGCTCTCTTCGGGCCATGGGATTGCGAGCCATTCCAGCGACTGGTGTGGAACTTCCTGGCGCTGGAGGCATTGGCGGAGCAGCTGTGGTGCAATCGATGATGGATGTGCCTATTGGCGTTGCTGGCCATAACTGCATCCTCAGGTTTACGGTGCTGAAGGACACCGGGGAGTTTGAGACACCCCCCCTGCTGCCGGTGAGTTTCCTGGAGACGATGGACACCATCATCGACTTCCAGAAGAGCGAGTGCGTTATTGGCGGCAACACCGTTGAGATGCTCAGATTGCCCACCGGACATCGCGCCATCGACATTTTGCAGTACCATCCCGACGGTTGGAATTTGCCAACCGAGATGCGAAAGAACCCCGACCTGGACCCATTTGTGCTTCCATCCCACACTTCATCGGCGACGGTCTCTATGGTGTCAGTGTGGCTTCAACGAGCAGATGATAAAGTTTTTGTGCAAGCTCTACCTGGCGGGCGCCTGCCCATGATTGTGCCCGCGGATTGCAGTGGACTGCCTCCGAAGCACATCACTCGCCGCCGCACATCACATGTCGTGTTCGATGACGGCAGCGAGATCACCATCGATGACGACTGGCAGACGCAGCACGCCCATAGAGAGCTTCAGCAGCCCTGGCACGGCAGTGTCACCTTTTACCAGAACGGCATCAACGCCAACGTTTTTTTGGGAGGCGATGCAAGTGCTCCCGCTGGTGATGATTTTGGCGCTGATGGGCCCTGGGGACCGAATGGACCTTATGCCCGGGGAAGCGCTTTTTCTAGCTACCAACCGCCATCACGAAGCGGTCGGAACCGACAGCCAGACGCGCACCCCAGGAAAACCGGTCACCAACAATCAGAGGCTGCTCATTTTGACATCTCTGAGAATGGAAGCCAGTTTGGACCGAGCGATCACGGTGCGGGTCATGATCTCTATGTACCGCCGCAGCCACTTCCCATGCTCAAGTGGCTATTCAATCAAGCTCGACAATTCGTGGTCGGCCATGGCATCGCTGAAGGACCGCATCAACAAGATGGTCCATGCCAAGGATCCGACCGTCCCCAAGGAGCCGAATCCGCAAAGGGCGAAAAATGCTTGGCGAAGGATGACCCTCGCGATCTTCACCCTGATCAAGGCAGCCACCGATCAGCTGGTGGTGGACTACCTGGTGAAGTCAAGAAAGGTGGAGGAAGAGTTGGGAGCCGTGAGTCAGACGACCATGAAGAAGCAGACCACGAAGAACGTCTCGCAGCAAGTGGTTCGGCAGGATCGGCAAGCCCCTCACGCGCTCCAAAGCCCAGAAGAATTGGGTCCACGAGCCGGATGTCTGTCCTCACGTTCAGGAGTACCTACGTCACCGAGCAGGTCGAGGCTACTTCTGGTGGACATGCCTGCAGTGCGGTTCGCGCTGGGAGAGGAATCAGTTGGAGGAGACAACTGCCGGGAGCAGCAGCAGCAGCCATCTGGTGGTCGAGAAGCCGCTCAAGGGCTCCTACCCGGAGTATCTCCCACCGCCTCGCTATCGCACGGACATGAACAAACTGGTCAAGGTCACCACCAAGGAGAGCGACAACGTCCCAAAGTCCCAGGGGAGCATCCTGGCCACGGAGATCAAGAACCAGGCGACGGCGATGCTCGAGGACCAGTTCAACCGGGACACCGAGAACGCGAATGCGGGTCCGGACGGCACGATCACGGAGAAGAACAACGGGAAGGGAAATTGCCGATCGAAGAATCGAACTCTGACAGGAGTTCTTCCATGCCGCCGCTCAAAGACTCCCACAAGGAAGAGCGCCGTGGACACCGAGATCTACGAGCTGAACACGGACTCGGACACCCTGGGAGACATGGAGATGGTGGACCCAGCACCGGCCAAGCAGGAGTGAGGCACCCCAGCCTTACTCGGAGGATTTTTCACTCCAACCAGCTATCAGCCGAGCTGCGAAATCGGTTCGGTCTGATGTCACGGTTGGCCTTTGTGATGCTTTGCTCATGCACTACGCAAGGCTTTTGCGCTGGAAGCACAGTGCCAGCGACGATTTTGCCATTGCTCGGGAGGCCAACCGAGCTCTTTTTGCTGCACGAAACGAATTCGACAAGGCCGAGGTGGAGCCATCACTACTTCGAGAACGAGGACTACGGCAAGATCACGGACTCCACCTGTTATGAGGCCTACTGGATATTCCCATGTACTACGAGCAATGCCGCATGGTCACTAGAGGACCAGGAATGGAGAAGCGTGCCTAGGAACATCACCAAGGAGATCAAGAAGCTAGTCTACACCAGCACCCACAACCTGCTGGGCGAGTTCGGCGTCGACATTATGGAGATCTACAGCCCTCCGCGAGTGACCAAGATGGCGAGGTCACAGAACGGTCAATGGAGGATTGGAGGTGCTTTGGACCTCACCACCGGCTACAACTTCTGTGATCCCCAGTGTCGGGCAGACACTCGGAGGCAAGTCAAGGAGCTGAAGCCTGCGCTGATCACGCTGTCGCCGCCATGCACAAGCTTCTCCCTTTTGAGACAGTTGAGCAACTACCGCAGGGACCCCGAGACGGTGATTGCTGAGCAAGAAGAAGGAGATCTACACTGGGACTTCGCTCTCAGCATCGCGGAGTACCAAGATGACAACCGTCGCGGGTTCCTACTGGAACACCCGCGGGGAGCATCATCCTGGCGGTCGGAGAGGGCTCAAAGGCTGATGCAGAGACCCACCGTGTTTTGCATCCATCTGGACATGTGCGCCTTTCAGCTGACCACCACGAAGGAGAACCTTCCCGCGAAGAAACCGACACGACTGCTGACCAACGTGTGGCCATTGGTCAAATTGCTGGCCAAACGTTGCCCAGGCCATGAAGTGCATCAACCTCTCATTGGAGGACGGGCTGGACCTACTGCGGTCTACACCGACGCCTTCGTCAAGGCCATCCTCAAAGGACTACGACGTCATTTGCAGCACCTCGGTGTCTACGCCCAGGTCAACCCTCCTCACGAACTACCATCACAAGCAATCGCAGCACTTTCAACGTGGCATCAGCAGAAAGCAGACAACGAGGCCAATCGATTGGCTTCCGTCTTGGCCACGTTCATCCAGAACGAGGCCGAGTTTCAGGACGAACTGGAGGTCTATTTGCTACATTGCTTTCCATCACACAGAATTTTGGGAGGCGCAGATTCATCATCGCCTACGGTGGCCGCTTCGCGACCTCTTGCTCGACCAGCAATTGATGACGATGTGGAAACCGACCCTGTGATGCAAAGCGCATCGCGTCAACTGGTCCCCATCGGCGAGGGCGAGAACATTCAGAAGGCCGCCGACAAGATCGACACTTGGCAGAAAGCAGAGACCGGACAATGGTCTCTGGCACCAGACCTCCGACGAGAACTCTACCGTCTACATCGAAACCTCGGACACCCAGACCGACAAGCCTTCGTGCGTGGTCTTAGGCATGCCAGCGCCAAGGAAGAGGTGATCAACTGGGCAAAGCGCTACTTCAACTGCCCGCTGTGTGAGGCCCGACAGAAACCCACACTTCCACGACCCGGTCATCTGGTGCGACAGATGGAGTTCAACCAGGTGGTCGGCATCGACACCTTCTTCTACCCCTTCCAGGAGGTGACCTTGAACTTCCTGAACATCTTGTGTTGGGGATCCGGTCTGCAGATCGTGGAGGAGATGCCCCAGAAGACAGGCTTCGACACGTTTGAGACCTTCTGCAGGACCTGGCTGACCCACTATGGACCACCCGGTGTCCTGGTCATCGACCAGGGAACCGAGTACACCTCCCAGGAGTTCCTTGGCAGATTGTCAGACATGGGCCTCATGATCCATGTGATTGACGCCCGGGCCCCATGGCAGAATGGGAGAACCGAAAAGGCTGGAGGCCTGTTCAAGGAGAAGCTGTCCCTCACCTTGCAGGAGATCCAGGCGACCAGCAAGAGCGAATTCGATCAATGCGTGCGAGAAGTGCAGATCAACCGCAACAGGTACTACAACCGGAGCGGGTTCAGCCCGTATCAGAGAGTGTTCGGCTACAACCCGAGATTGCCGGCATCCCTGGCATCCGATGACCTGTTGGACTCCGAGCTGGTGCACCAGGGAGCAAGTGGCCCCGTCAAGAGAGCGTGGGAAATCAGAGACGCTGCCAGCCAAGCCTGGATGAGAAACAAGGACGCCGAGATGGTCAGCTCTGCTGTGCGAAAAAGGACGCGGATCTCCGACGCGAAGAAGCTGAACATCGGCGACTGGGTCTACGTCTGGCGAGACACGGACAAGTACAACGGCTGGAGCGGACCCGGAATCATCCTCGCGGAGAGCCCCAACGGCAACTCGCTGTGGATCAGCCTGAGAGGACATTTGGTGAAAGCCTCTCGTGAACAAGTGCGTCCGGCTACTGCGGAAGAGCATCTTGGTGCTGAACTCATTCAGGAGCTCTCGCAGGAGATGATTAAGGACATTCACACTGGCAAGGTGAAACACTATCACGACATCGAGCAGGAAGGTGGCCCCGGTGACCAACGGCAATTGGAGATGCCCATCGAGGCCATAGAAAACGTCCCTGCTCCCGAAGAGTCACAACAGCCAGTCCAAGAACCTCAAGCACTACCAGCACCGGTGGATAACAACGTAGACGGAGATGAGTTAGATCATGCCAACGTGGAGGCCGAGAACCAACCTCACGCACCTCAACCAACAGCGGAAGACATGGAGGTCGAGGCCGGAGATCGAGAGAGCACCCGACCGCCGTCCTCATCACGACCTACCAGCAGACCAACTACGCCAGTTATGAGCAGAAGATCTACCGTGGTGGTGGACGAAGGCAGTGGCGGAACAACCAGCATTCCTTACGGACCTCAACGAGCTCCACCGGAATCAAGAGCCATGCCTTATCCCTTCGATGGAGCTACTCCAGCGTGGCCTACCCCACCGGCAAGATCATTCTTCATGCAGGCGGTGGACTTCGAGGAGGTTGAGCACGGCAAGGACGGAGCAGCGTGGTGGACCAACCAGCGGATGGGAACTTCGGGAATCACCCCCAAGGGCAAGGAGACGTTCGACATCGCGAACTCGGAGGCGAGCTACAGCCATCGGGACCGGTGCATGTACCTCGCCAAGGCCAAGACATCCCCTGGTCAGGTCACCTTCAACCAGCTCGGGAACGAACACAAGAAAATCTTCAGAGGCGCCCGAGCAAAGGAACTCCAGTCCCTGCTCGACACGAAGTCCATCACCATCCTCTCCAAGAAGGAGTCGGAGGAGTTCCGCAGGAACTACCCGGAAGGTGTGTTGGAATCCAGGTTCGTGGATCGGTGGAAACCCTCTGGCAAGTTTGCAGTGCTGCCGGAGGAGTACGGCAACGCCAACTTCGACCCCGCCAAGCACGAGGGCCTGGCAGCGAAGTCGCGCTGGTGCGTTGTCGGATGGCAGGACCCTCAGATCCACGAGATTGAGAGATCGGCCCCCACACCGATAACCTCATCGCTGTACCTTTTCTTCCAGCTAGCAGCATCACGAAAATGGGGAGCCAGAGTGAAGGACGCGAAAACAGCCTTCTTGCAGTCAATGCCAACCACGAGGAAGAAACGATTGGCGTGCACCATGCCCAAGGACGAAGCCTTCAGCGGCTACAGCGACGACCAGTTGATCATGCTCAACACGGAAGTCTATGGGCTGGTCTCAGGACCCGCATGGTGGAGACGCTCATTCCTCGAGGTGTTGGTGAAGGAGCTTGGGTACCGCATCAATCCGTACGACCGATGCGTGTTGACCCTGGATGCAGAAGAGCGAGGTGAACAGGTTCCCACTCGAGGAGCCATCGTGATTGAAGTGGACGACGTCCTGGAGGCCGGCGATGAAGAACATCGACGGCGTATGAAAGTGCTCGAGGAGAAGTTGCGCTTCGGCAAGGCGGTGGAACTGCAGTCGGAGGACCTCGGCACGGGCTACGCGGGACGTCGCATCAGACAGGAGCAAGACTGCTCATTCACTCACTCCATGCAGGACTACGTCCAGAACCGCCTCAAGCAGGTGATCCTGGAGAACAAGACGCTGAAGAAGAACGCCAGCGAGGTTCCGTTGACAGCCAACGAGGAGACGCAGCTGCGGGGGACAATAGCGTCCATAAACTGGATTGCCCGTGAGGGCAGACCTGACGCTTCAGCAGCCGCGAGCATCCTTGCCGGATGCTTCCCAAACCCCACTGCCGAGAATGCGTTGGAGGCGAATAGAGTGGTGAACAAGATCAAGGGCCACAATGTCGTGCTCCGCATTTTCAGCATCCCCGAGGACAAGATCCGCCACATCTTGATCGCGGATAGCTCCTATGACCCGTCAGGCAAGCAGAAGCCGCAGCATGGATGGTTGCAGGGCATCACCGATGACACCTTGAGTCAGGGAGCCTCTGCACCTATCTCCTTGATGTCATGGCGCTCTCGGAGATTGCGGAGGAAAGCTGGATCGACCATGCTGTGCGAAGCAATTTCCATGGCAACCGCATTGGGCGCCATGGAGAAGCAGGTAGCAATGCTGGAGTCTCTGAGGTGGTCGAGGTACAGCCCTCGAAAGCACGCTGAACGTGACGATGACGGCGGTCTTCACGGGACCCCCACGGTCATTGCCTCGGAGAACCCAAGGTTCGCTGACCCGAACCTGGTGGCCATCATCGACGCCAAGTCGGTGTACGACGCCACACACTCAGAGCAGGCGCAGGGAGAAGACGACCGCAGCGCTCTCGAGATCGCAGTGATCAAGGAGAGCCTCGCGAAGATGCAGGGCAGGATCAGGTGGCTGCCCCACAACTTCAACCCGGCAGACGTGCTGACGAAGATGATCGGCGCTCATGAGGAGCCAATGTTTGCTTTGCTGAGGAACTGCCGGCTTCGAATAGAAGCTGAAGCAGATCACCTCGCATCTGGTCGTCAGGGCGACCATAGGAAGAAATCCACGGTCAACCCAAAGATAATTTTGGGGGCTGAGGAAACCACTTAAGAGTCTTGGGTTGATCTGGATTGTCTTGACAGGCCTTGAGCTGTATCGGCTGCGCCCCAGTAGAAAAGAGCGTTTGTAGACTGCTCACCAACAGTTTACCGAAACATGCAAAGTTCAGAATTTTGGTGTCTACATGAAGAGAAGACCTAAAAGATCCCAAAGTTGTGTCTGATAGTCTTGCTTAAGCCATGCGCGCTTGCTCCCAATTATTAACACGCAACGTGCTGCACAAGGTCAGCGCAGCCTGCAAGCAATCAACACAACATCTGTTTCTCCAGCTTGCCGCAAGGGTGGATCCAGAGATCTCGAGCCGGGGCTTGACAGGAGAATATCCTCCAGCCGCCATGCTCACTGATCCAGGACTGCCTTGAAAGTCTTGATCATAGACTTGCCTCCTTTGTCATGTGTAAGAGCCTGCATATGAACTGTAGCCAAGGACTTGGCCAGCTCTAGGCAATCAGCCTCAGCATCCTTGGGCAAACCATTGGCATGGTGAGCCCTCAGATCCTCCAAGAAGGAATCCAAACTGACGCATGCATTGGCCAACTCCTCAATCTTCTTGGTCCAAACAGGGTCATTCTTGTAAAGGCTGTTCATCTTGTGCTTCAAAAATTTGAGATCTTCCAAATTTGCGGCCAACCTCGCCTTGTCCTTGAGCAGCAACTTGAAGCTTTCAGATGCCTCAGAAAAGGAAGAGCTGACGTTCTCTGGGCGGTTTGCGCTGCTGGTCTTGCCCATCATGATGTCCATGGCAGCTTTGTCCTTGACCTGCATGCCCTTCATGCCAGTGCAAGAACTGTCTAAGGTCTGCTCTTCCACAGTCCCTGTGGTTTGCTTCTGGCCTTGAGAATGTACAAAGTAGTACTTGCTCAGAATGTCAAACTTATCATGCAGCTGCGTCTGCCTGGCATGTCCAAACCTTAACTCACACATCGTCAAGATCTCTTCCAAAAGCTGCTGCTTCATGTCGTCATTTGCCAAAGAGCTCTCATCCACACCCTCAATTTTGAAGATGGCAGACCTGCGCGAGCCAGACAATGTGCAAGCAACATGCAATGCAGCAACATGACAGCAGAAAAACATGCATCGCAGTGGCCTTGTGTAGAAATTCCTGATGACATCTTCTGTATGGGCATTGTGGGTCTTTGTGCTCTTGCTGAGCTGGTGCACCCAGCTGCAATTTTTGACTCCATATTTGTCCAAATTGGACAAAATCTGCCTCTTGGTCTCCACATCGCCCTGCTCATACTCCTGCAAATACAAACAAGAACCAAAAACAACTCCAACCATGCCACAATGGAACATTCATCTGTCCTCAAGCGCTTTAGCTGCATCTTGTTTCTCTTCTGCGCTGAGCTTCTTGGACTTGGGCTGGTAGCGCAAGCTGGTGAGCAAGGCCGAAATGGTTCCCCTGGGATAGCCCAAGGTTTCCTTGCTTGAAGATGGCGCCTCACAATCCTGGACTTCTACATCTGTCTCCTTCTTAGCCTTCTGCGTTCTCCTTGGAGATGTCTTTTCCTGTTTGATTCTAGTCTTCTGGGTCTCCTTGTGCTTGGGAGCGGCCTTGCTCTTGGCAGCCATCTTCATGGCCATTTTTCCACCATGTTTTTTAGGCGCCATGCTAATTGGCTGCAGCAGAACTGCTTGCAGTACAATTGCAAACCATTGTTCCAACAGCACATCTTGCAAGCAGTTTGGCCTGATGTCCTTTTTCAACAGCTGCATGTTGCACCCACAGGCGCCTAATAAGCATAATTCCAAAAGTCTGAAGCTCTCTACCTAGTCTCCTGGCCAATGCAGTGGCTGAGCCAGAGATAGAGAGGCATGTGAGCTCTCAAACTGGTGGTTCTCACAACCACCCTGCATGCCACTCATACAGAAACATCTGGAAACATTGCTGGTGACCTTCAAAATACTTATGCCACAAAGCAGCACTTAATCCCTCCATGAAAAACAATCTCATTCGCTTGAGGGAGTGCAGCACAGGCCTGGACCTGATCTGGCCCTGTGTACCAAGTCAGCTGAACTCTCATCCAATCTCTGGCCACATATTGCCAAGTACATTCCAACTACCAATTGTTGCAGCAAGGATCTGAGATTGCCACCAAACCGATATAGTAAACCAGTGATGGTCACCTGGCCAGTCATGGACACATGCAGCATGTGCAAACACTATAATTCCTACCACAAAAATTTTTAAACAGTTAAAATTTTTAACATTTTTTCAAAATTTTTAACATGTTAAAAATTCCTGGTTTAAAAGGAAAGTCAAAGGAAAATCAAAATTTTTAACATGTTAAAAATTTTGAAAAAATGTTAAAAATTTTAACTGTTAAAAAAACGAATGAGGACTCTGGAAATTCATGCAGTGTCCAGCAAAAACCACCACAGCAATCTCCAGGTTGATCATCAACCAAGTGCACAGACATAACTGAGGTTGGGACCCACCTGCTCCTGCCCAGGAGCGCCTGCGCGTGAGAAACATTGGTGAACCAAAACGCAACCAGCTCTCACAACTGCATCCTACCAAGGAGCACTGCACTCATCAACTGCATCCTACCAAGGAGCACTGCTCTCATCAACTGCATCCTACCAAGGAGCGCTGCTTGTTTTTTTATACACCGCTGCCAAGTTTGTCTCATCGATCACTCTGCTGTACCTTCAGCATCCAAATGCACTTCCTGAGCTTCTTCAGCTTCCTCTTGCACTTCCTGAGCTGCCCCCACCAAGGACCTAAATGCTGAATTCAAGCCTCTTACATGCTCAGGTGATTCTGCTGCCATGAGCATGGACACAAACTCATCCACTAGCCCGCGCTTATCCAGCTCAGACTCCAGTGCAGGCTCTTCGGGCTGCTCCACATCAGCTGGCAAAGAAGCATAGGAAGGACCGCTTTTCTCCTGCAGGAAAAAAAACATGTCTGCAAGTTGCAACAGGCCACACTGCTATTCAGTCACTCTCCACCCAGCATGCAAATTGAACAAAACCAACAGTCCTCTCTCATGAGGCGAAGCTGTTTCGAGGAAGCAGATGGCTCGCCTCCAACCCACCTGCCCTCTTGCTTGAGGCTCATGATCTGGCCCTCGATCCAAGCCTTTCTCTTCTTGCCTTTCGAGCCCCTCTCCTTTTTCCAAGCGTCTGGCAAATAATGCTTCTCCCAAGCATTTCCTCCCCAATACTCTTGGGCCTCGGCATCTTCTGGATCTTCCTGTGGCCAGTCCTCCTTCTTCCAGCCCTCCTTCTTCCAGCCCTCCTTCTTCCAGACCTGTTTCCAGCTCTCCTTAGGCCAGTCCTCCTTCTTCCAGTCCTTCTTCCAATCCTGCTTTGCGTCCTGCTCCTTTTTCCAAGTCTTCCAGTATGATTCCTTCTTCCAAACAGCAAGTGGGCCCTCAAAACCAACAGCATCTGGATGGCTGAGAGCTTCTGGATGGCTGGGAGCAGCTTCTGGATGGCTGGGAGCAGCTTCTGGCTGGCTGGGACCAGCTTCTGGATGGCTGGGACCAGCTTCTGGATGACCAGCTGCAACCTCCAAAGGTTAGAGATAGGGAAGGGAAGATGATTAACTCCTGGTCCATTCATTCCCTTAATTACAAGACCAGGAGGTGTGATAGGATAATGATAGAGAGATAGTGAATTGGTGGACAACCTGAGTCTTCTTATCTCTAAGTCACGTTATTTCCTTATTATTTCCCAATCAACATGAAAAGAATAGCAATAAAAGCTAGAAATGGAAAGGAGATTCCTCACGTCATCAAATAATCATAAAATAAATATAATAAAATAAGATGAAGATAATGATAAAGAACGAGAAAAGAGGAAACGAAAGTAATAAAAGAATATGAAAATGTGCTATTCATCTGATGAAGCCACTTCTGTGATAACAGCAGTGCCCTCTTTCAGCCCATACACAGGGCTGGACTCATCTTCTTCTTCTTCAATCTCGTCCAGCTCTGCTTGCAAATGGGCTTGGTATACCCCGTCAGCATACCCAGCCTTTTTCCAGCTCTGCCAGTCCCAGTGCTTGGGGCTCGAGACTGCATTGATCGGGCCTCTGACCCACAGATTGGTGTTCGGGGCCTGCCTCATGAAGTAGCTTTTGCAAAACATATTGATGCAAATCTTCTTCCTGATGTAGGATTTTGTTCCACATTGGGGACAGATCCTCAGATCTTGCAGGGCCTCGCCGGCCATGGGCTTGGCAAGTGCCATGGCGCCGAATTGCTGCTGCCACTCAAAATGGTATTTTCAATTGTTTGCCTAATCCTTTGCTTTCTGTCTAGCTTCCTGCCCGGGAGCTGCGGGACTTGCAACGTTTGCTGCTTGCATCCAAGACCTCTTGAAAGATGATCAGCAACATGCAGCACGCTGCTTCAATGCCAAGTGCTTTCAAGACAAATTCCTTCCATGCAGAATGTGCGCCCACGCAGCCTCAAACACGATAGGCAACAGTGCATGCAGCCGCCCGCTGCCCAAACCTCAGGATCAACACATCAGAGTCCTGTGAAGACATGGGATCTCCCACAACTGCGACAAGCATGACTCTGGCATGAACAGCAACGCATCCTACCAAGGAGCATCAACTGCATCCTACCAAGGAGCAAATTATACACCGCTGCACTCACCAACTGCATCCTACCAAGGAGCAAATTATACACCACTGCATGTGCACAGGTGAGCCATCTGTCTCATCAGTCACTCTGGAGTATCTGAGGCCCTGGCAACACGAAAGCTAGCTCCACACTCTCACTTCTGAGGCCCTGGCAAAACAAGCAAACCGGCACAAATGGCCAAAATTGCTGCAGCAACTCACGCTTCAAAAATCCAAGAAAACCTTGCATGCAACCAAAATCAAGCAAATGGACTGAACAATTGCATACATGCATAGCAAGAAAACCTTTTCTGCCCACAAAGCGACAAAGGCCTCTCAGTTCAAAGTCTTTGCTGCCTTCGGCTTCTGCTTCGCCAAATGATCTCTGCATGCTCCAACGCAAGCATACCAA